GGTATAATTCCACAAGGTGGTGCGCAGTGGAGGATAGTCGTTTATTGTAGATTACAGTTGGGATATCACTAATTTGGCATGCATAGCATAGAAATCTCATCTGAAGCATACCATCACATTTACCGGCAGCATACTGGGTAGTGGATGGAACAGTCAGTAGTTTTTCTTTGAGACAGAAATTTTCCTTCGGTAGTCTTGTTAATTCTTGATCGTTCAGGGAAATCATCAACCGCACTATTTTGCATACCATTCACAAATGTGAGTAGTATCTCACAACAATACGATGAACACTGGCCCCCAATGAACTAGGATTTTACTCACTGGCTCGCGGTTTGAGGGTCAGGCTCTTACAAGCCGAAGGCTCTGGTTGTGAATTCAATATGAGGATTGACCTGCCTTAATCCGGGCAATCTGTCAGGATCCGGACCACAAGAATATTATGCATTTTTTTATTTTTATGGGGATACTTGTACCGTGTTTCCTTGATAAACAGTTTGGATTCAGATGGACGTGAGATGTAATATATTTATTAAAATCCATCAAGGAAAAGTTTTGAATAACGGTCACTTGAAACATAATCTGAAAAAAATCACTGAAGGTAACTTTTCAAAAATATGGGGCAAAAATGACTTCACAGCTTGTGAATACCTTTGTCAGTTCAAGTAAAACCGCTGGAACTTAAAATGAATCAAGCAACAACGTTCAATTGGGAAAGTAACTGGTGCTTGCAGCGACAAACGTCAGCTATTGTACCGGGTCTATCACATCGCCCGTCAGGTGAAAATGAACTGGCTTCCCTCAAAACAACGAGTTGTCGACTGAGGATGATTTCGATGGGGTGCGATCTGACTATTTACGCAAACAAATTGATGTTGCAACGGACGCCTCACTGATCAACAGAAAATGTAGCATCACAACTACTTGCTAGGACAAGTTGTGTATTCAATTTTGAGGTTGGCTTTAAAGAGCGCTGAAGCATGATTTAGTTGTCCACGCAAAGTTGCGACACAAGATAAGAGGACAACCTAGTAATGAAGCGATGGGTTAAGTCCGTCTCCTACTCACGGATAAGAGAAAAAGGTATAGTTGTACAGAGGATTTCGCCTTGTACGATATTTCTCACCACCGTTGTACTCTGGAATTTGTCGACCAAAAGAGCTCGATATGTGTGGTTCACCCATACGGACGGAGGAATTCATGTTAAAATTAAGGATTTTGTGATGAAAAATTATATGGTATTGTTCGGAGTGCCAATCACTAGTGGACCGCACAAATACTCCAAACGCAATCGTGCCGGTTGGCAAACTACTCACGTTCCCACTACTCCCAGC